CCCAGAAGGCCGGGGGGGGGGGCTCCTCGGGAAGGCAGCAGAGGGGAGGACTCGCCAGAAGGGGCGTTAAGGGGAGGGCGGGCTCTCGGGGGAAACCTCTTGGCAGTCAGGGTTGTGGAGAGCCCCCCCCCTCCCTGGCCCTCTGGACACGCGCTTCTTGTCAGGGATGCTCTGGGCTGACCCTGCACTCAGCAGGGGGTTGGGCTAGATGGCCTCTAGGGCCCCTTCCGGGTCTGCTGCGTGTGAGAGTGGGGCCCACGAGTTCGAAGCATTAGTGACCCACAGCAACCCCCAAAGGAAGTCAGGCCTTCTTATCTGTACAACCACGGTGGTATAGGGATTCACAGGTTCAAATCCCCAGACTGCCAGGGAAGCTTCCTGGGAGGCCTCGGGCCAGTCACGCCTTCCCAGCCTAGCCTACCTCACAGGTCTGTTGTGGTGAGGAGAGGGGAATGATAGGAGCCACTATGGGGGAAGTAAGGGATAAATGAAGTAAGTGGGTTGGCCACAGTGGTCAAGAATTTCACCCACTCGTCCTGTGCATCAGCTGGCCATTTGGTGTCAGCATTTGTTGAATGAGCTGGAGTCTGAAGGGGAGTGACTTTGTTGTCAGCCGAACATACGCTCCAATCTGCTTGGCTTCAATTTGCCAGCCCACCAAGAATTCTCCCCCCCTTTGACAAGACAGAACCCGCTCCCATCACTGGCCAGGAGCTTTCCAAATAACCGGGTTTGATTCCCCACTCCTCCACTTGCACCTGGCTGGATGACCTTGGGCAAGCTATAGTCCTGACAAGAGGTGTCCTTGAAAAAGAGCCGTTTCTGTCAAGAGCTCTCTCAGCCCCACCGACCTCGCAGGGTGTCTGTTGTGGGGAAGGGGAGGGAAAGGAGTTTGTCAGCCGCTCTGAGACTCCTTTGGGTAGTGAAGGGCCATGGGGCATAAATCCACTCTCCTCCTCCTCCTGTGTGTGTATGTTTGAGAGAGATTCCCTTTTTCTAAGGCTTCTTCTCATCTGGTATTGATATTGGAGCCCAGCAGGCTTAAATAAGGATGGTCTGGAATCTTTCCTCTCCCCTCCACAAACGTACTGTTTGTTATGTTAATTTATTTGCCCTCATGTTGTATTTCAACAATATGTGTTGGAAGTATTAATTAAAATAATGGAAACAACTTAAAATGAGTGTGCCTGGATTGGCTTGAGAACAGACAGGATCCAGATGGGTGGGGGAACATGTGTTTTTTCCAAGCCACTCTGTGAAAATGTTACCCCAGAACAGGTCAGCTGTAAGTGGGTATTTTAATGCCTTTTGCAAGAGGTGTGTTGCTTTGGGACAGGTGCCCTGCCCAAAATACATTGCCCAAACGTGTTCTGTTGTGATGCTGGGCACTTCTTGATTTCTGCTCTCGGGTGTTAATGAAAGCCTTAGTAAATTTTGCAGGAAGTTCTTTTGGACCTAATTTCCTAGAGTCTAGCTCAGGTTTGTCTTCTTCTAAATGAAGTTCTCTTCTCTGGTCTTCTCCTTAGAGCCTTCTGTCACGAAGGTTTTCCCCTGCGTTTGAAGGACTTTCTCCAGTGGAGAAGCAAAAATTGCCAGCCCAACTCTGGAAGCTTTTGGGTAAGGAAGATAATTTCAGTGTCTTGACCAGAATGATGCCAAAAATGATGACCAGAATGAACAAAATTCGATTTCTTTGCCCAGTACATTTCACTCTTTCTGTCTAATCTGTGACTTTTAAAACATTCAGAGGAAGGGGAATGTCTTGCCACTGCATGCCTCTGGCTGGGTTCAGTCATTTCCTCCCCAGGACCCTCCTGACACAGCCCTGCTTGAAGCTTCTGAGGAGGGCAGCCTTCCACCAGGGTCCTAACCTGGATGGCCCAGTCTAGTCCAGTCTCACCAGATCTCAGAAGCTAAGCAGGGTCAGTCCTGGTTAGTATTCGGATGAGAGACCACCAAAGTCCAGGGTCACCGTGCAGTGGCAGGTAATAGTAAACCAAACTCTGTTTGTGTTTTTCCTTGAAAACTCCAGGAGAGATTGCCATAACGCTGTTGCCACTTGATGGCACTTTCCCCCATTCTTCCAAGGCCCAACCTTTCCTTTGACAGCTGTCATGCTGTGCAAAGCAGAAGGACAAAGTTTTCCTTCCCACTCTCCTCCCTTGGTCACAGAGGCACACATGAGAAACCACCATCTAGAGTTCTTGTTCCTGTAGCTTACTATTCCCTTAGAAGGAATAGTTCCACAACTTAAAAAGGATATTATAGCTTTGGAAAAAGTGCAGAAAAGGGCAACTCGAATGATAAAAGGGTTGGAACACTTTCCCTATGAGGAAAGGTTAAAGGGCTTAGGGCTGTTTAGCTTGGAGAAATGACGACTGAGGGGTGACATGATCGAGGTTTATAAGATTATGCATGGGATAGAGCAGGTAGGGAAATAGGTACTTTTCTCCCTTTCTCACAATATAAGAACTTGTAGCCACTCAAAGAAATTGCTGAGCGGTCGGGTTAGAACGGATAAAAGGAAGTACTTCTTCACCCAAAGAGTGATTAACACATGGAATTCACTGCCACAGGAAGTGGTGGCGGCTACAAGCATGGACGGCTTCAAGAGGGAATTAGAGAAGCATATGGAGCAGAGGTCCATCAGTGGCTATTAGCCACAAGGTGTAGATAGGGGCTCTGGGGCAAGTGATGTTCTGTCTTCTTGGTGCTTGGGGGGGGCAAGAGTGGGAGGGCTTCTAATGTCCTGGCCCCACTGCTGGACCTCCTGATGGCACTGGTATTTCTGGCCACTGTGTGACACAGAGTGTTGGACTGGATGGGCCTTTGGCCTTATCCAACATTGGCGTCTCTCATGTTCTTAAGGGCTATGGGGGAATCGTTTTCTTGGAATCCATGCAGTGCCTCCTCATCTCTCCTTCAACCGTCTGAGTCCCGTGAGGCCAAGGAGAGGAAGGGAGAGCAGGTGCTGCCGGCAGAACCTGGTAGGGCTTAGAAGCCTTGACTGCCAGAAGGCCAGCCCCATCCTTGGGCTCAACTCACGACTAGAAGCCAGGGCGACTAGGGAGCTTGTTTCTGTGCAAGCACAGCATTCCAGGTTCCTCTTTGTCCCGGACTCATGAGATAGGTGCATCTTTGACCATATCTCTGTTTACAGGTGGCCCTTTCTATTTTTCTGCCTCTGATTCCCGTCGCAATGGCAAAAGCGGTGAAGGGTCCAAAGGGAAATCCCCGGAGGAAGATGAGGGTATGTACAGACTGTGGATCTCTACAGACTTTTTAAAAAGTGCCCTTATTAATGTCCAGTAAGGAGCTAGTTCTCATGAGTTACGTTCATGTTGAGACTTGTGTCATGGTCCCCGTGGGTGTTAGTGTGTTTCCAGGCACTGGCTTGCTCCTTGACTTTTCAGGGTAAATCCAAAGGATCTTGAATGGACTTCAGGTCACTCCCTGCAATCCCTGACTGATTCATTAGTAAAACACTGACCTCAAACCAGGCAGACATGTCAGTAGCTCTGTGCTCTCTGCCGCGACTCTCTCACACCTCTGGGAAACCTCTTGCTTGCAGATCACAGCATTTTATTTGGGAACCGAAACCACACAGCATCTCTTACTCAGAACAAGGAGATGATGGTCCCAGCATCTCTCCACCTCCTTGGTCCAGGAGATGCCTCAGAAGAATCTAGGAGGCAATGCTTTTGTGTCTGCAGGACAGCACTCGGTGTATAAGTATTGTATCTAGATTATCTGTGAGTTACGCATCCCCTTCTGAGCCGAATTAGCGGTGTTGGTCTTGACCTTTAGAGCCCTACCTGGCTTGGGACTGGGGTGTCTGAAGGGCTGTCTTCTCCCATGGGGTCCTGCCAGGGAAATATGATCACAGGGAGAAGCCCAAGCCCACCTGACTTTCCCATCAATCAAAGAAGTTCATCTGGCGGGCCTTTTCAGTGGCAGCCCCATGATTGTGGAACAGCATCCCCAGGGAGGTGCACCTGGACCCTTCCTTTTTTAACCTTTAGCTGGCAGCTGAAGACTGTTTTATTTAGGCCTGCGTTTGATTAAAGCAGTCCTAAATTGTGATTTTTAATTTTTTAAAAATGTTTTTAATGCATTTTATGTATTTAATCTATATTGTAAACTGCCTTGAACTCCGTAAGGAAGAAAGGCGGCTGATAAATGTTTCAAATAAACAAAGAAAGGGCCATGGAGGCTGGTGCCCCACCTCCTTACAAAATCTGTGGCAGGGGATCAGCTTCCTTGCGCCACTGCTCACGTCTTCCGATGACTCATGAAAGCTCATACCCTGCCACATTTTTGTTAGTCTTTACTAGGGGCCGTGGTGGCTCAGAGGTTAAGACGCTGAACTGCCGGCTGTGGAAGGTCAGTAGTTCAGCAGTTCGAGACCCGAGTGTGCCGCATGACGGAGTGAGCTCCCATCTCTGGCCCCAGCTCCTGCCAACCTAGCAATTCGAAAGCAAGAAATTGCAAGTAGATAAATAGGGACCACTTCAGTGGGAAGGTAACAGCGTTCCGTGCACCTTGGCATCTAGTCATGCCGGCCGCACAACCACGGAAACGTCTTCGGACAGCGCTGGCTCTTCGGCTTGGAAACAGAGATGATCACCGCATCAGACGATCACCGCATACCTAGAGTCGGATTTGACTGGCTTTCGAGCAAGGGAAACTTTTACCTTGACTAAGATGCTAGTGGACTCTTCCTCTTTAACTTTCAGATCCTTTTCCAAAACAAAACTGATGCAGAATTGTTTAGGATGCTGGCCACCTCTCTGTGTGAGTGCCCCAGTCAAGGGGGGAGGAGGACGACAGGGGCTTTCCTGGAGTCGTCCTCCCTGTGTCTTGGCCCCTGCTTTTGTCACAGTGTAATCCCAGTTCACATCAGGACATCTGTTCCTCCGGAGTGGGGGGGGGGTGCGTCTTTGACCTCCCTTTCTTAACCAGCAGCCCTCGGCTGGAAACAAAGCGCCTCTTCAGGAGATGCAAAGGAGAGCCACCCAAACGCTGCAAGATCTCTCCTGCAGCTCCCTTTAAGAGCTGGGCTTCCCAGTGCCTGGAAAGCCACATGCAAGACTGGCGATCGGTACCCTGCCCCGAAGGTGTGGGGCTGTCAGCACACTGAGACCTCGACCTGTGGGATGCTGTTGTACCTTTTCCACCAGTGATGGATGAATGAGTAGGGGGAGGGCAGTCCTCGGCGTCTGGGGGGGAAGATCATCCCAGCAGTAATTATTTTGAAAGTGTTCTTTGGTCTGTCACTGCAGCCCTCAGCCTGCTTTTAATCACGGAGTTCAGGGCTGGGGTTAATGGCAAATCGTTCCTCCTTGAAGGCTCCCTGAGATTGGGAGCCTGGAACTGGTCCTGCTGCTGCCGCCTTTTCCAGCTCGCATAGGGCTTAATTTTAGGGAACATTTGCAGCTCTGCCGGGGCCTGCTGCTGGGAGCAGGATGGAGCCAGGTGGCAACAGCTCAGAGAAACCGGCCGGCCGGCCTGTTGCGCGTTGCTGCTGACGTCCTCAGCTGCTGTCTTCCAGTGTGCTGGTCTGTGGCTCGGCCGTAAAATCTCTAGCATCCACCACAGAGTTCTGACTGCTCATCAGAAGAGGCCCCAGTATTGGGGGAAGCCCCTTTCTCTGATCAAACAACATATGGGATGCATCTGTCTCGATTGCCTCTGAAACTCGGGAGGGGGAAAAGCTTTCCCAGAACTTCCTCTGTATGTCAGCGGGAGGACGTCATTGCGTGCAGAAAAAGAGATGGGCTTGCAGGGGAGGGCCCTGACGGCCCTGGCCCCTCATAGCCTGGGGGGTGTAAAGCCATTGTGGGAGAAGGCGTGGTCCAGAGAGACCTTTCCAGGCTGAATTCCCAGTTGGCCACAAAGAGCTTGTGGGGGAGGCTAACGGTCTGGGAGGCGATAGGCCCCGTGGAAAGCTAGAGGCTTGGCATTGACACGGCGGCGACACATTGTCTTTGCTCTGCTGGTAGCTGAAAGTGGGTGAGAACTTCTAGGCTTCCCAGAAGCCACCACCGGGCAGCTTGAGTGCTCAGACCCCAAAAGTAGACGCTCCCGGTGATCCTTTAAGTTTCTGTCTCTGCTGTGTCAGCAGGAGACAGTGTCCCTGGCTGCCGCTAGTTGTACTTCCTTGAGAGGAGAACCTCGTCGCTCTCTGGAGACCCTCTGGGTCATCCGCTTGCCCCTGCCTCCTGAGCAAGGAGGTCTGGCTCTTCCATATACTGTCCCTTAGTAATTATGGGGGTTTTCCCTTCCTTCTCCTCCTCTCCTGGTTCTTTCCTTTGACATCACGGCTTGCTCTTCATTGGACATTGGCTTGTGACTCAGTGATGAATTTGCTGAGCCTTCTGGGCCCTGGCGATAACACAGGACTGTGAAGAAGAAGTAGTGGTTGGATTTATACCCCATGGCCCTTCACTACCCAAAGGTGTCTCAGAGCGGCTTACAAACTCCATTCTCTTCCCCTCCCCACAACAGACACCCTGGGAAGTGGGTGGGGCTGAGAGGGCTCTTGACAGAAACGGCTCTTTTTCAAGAACAGCTCTTATCAGAACCACGGCTTGCCCAAGGTCATCCAGCCAGGTGCAAGTGAAGGAGTGGGGAATCAGACCCGGCTCTCCCAGATTAGAGTCCGCGCACTTACCAAACTGAAGCCGCCAAAGAGGAGAGGAGGAGGCCGAGCCCAGTCCCTGTGCTGCTGCTGCTGTTGTTCAGAGCACAACCGCTTTGTCAGAGACTGTGCTTCTCCTCTTGAGGTGGCCGTTGGGGTGTGGGACAGAGCAGGCCACAAGTGAAAGGCAACGGGGCCGGTGTCTGATGGGGGGGGGGGCGCGGTGAGCCTTGAGACTGCAGACAGAGGATTTGTCGCTGGGCTCTGTGTTGCTTATTGCGGGATGAGTCTCACTGGTGGTGTTTACTGATAAATGCCTTTGTTAACAAATTTGCAAAGAAATCTATTCAGGGCCGCCCGCCCCATGCCAGTGTGCCAACAAAGCAGCCATGATTTATTTGAGATTCCTCATTATCCGGTTCTTGGGTAGGACGTGTTGCTGGCAGAGGGTGGGGGTGCGTGTGGAGCGTCCAGATCTGACCAGTAAGCAGAAGGGGGCCGTGCAGGTGTGTGTTACGGGGAGCTGACATTACAGGGAAACAGGCTTTTAACCCTTTGCATGCCGCCTGTGTGTTGAACCGCGAGCTGTTTTACAAGTGACAGATTTGCAGAATTTTCTAGACTAGACTAAACAGCAGCATCAGGTGCCCGCTGGGCGCTTTTCTCCAGCTGTGTCCATACTGCAGCAACGATGCCAAGGCACAGAATGGAGCCTGGAGTAAGGCCTTGGATGGCGGGAGAGAAGGGCACGTCGCCCACGGTTTGTGGGTGGGCGGGGGGCTTGAAGCAGATCAGCTGGTCTGGGAGAGGGGGTGCAAGCCGTTTTGCCCTGCTGCTGTGCAGCCTGCCTCCCTTTGCTCCGAAGGCTCTTTTGTGGGAGCCCCATGCGGTGCAGCCTCCCACACACACACATGCTGCCCCCAAATAAAACAAGCGCCAGCTAATGCAGAGCGGTGGAGCTTGGCAGAGTCTGCAACGTCTCCTCAGTGTGGTTTGGAGGAGGGTGCAGGGTGTGCAGCTGCTGCATCGTTAACTGTCTGCTAGTTGCAGTGCTGCTGTCCAAGACACCTCGGCAGTTTCTGGCCTGGCATTGTCTGGGGTGAGCTTTAGGTCAGCGTCAACCTTTCTTTCTCTCGCAGGCTTTGAGTTGCTTTGTACCCGCCGTTCCTCCTGGCTCATCTCCATCCACAGAATGGAAACGGACGGAGGGTACAAAGCTGGGCAGAGTCGATATCCAGACGCCTCTTACGATGCAATCTCCCCCTTTCTGAGAGAGCGTTCCTCTGGGAACCCCTTCAGACCCACAGACACGCAGCCTTCTTGACCGGCTGGCTCAGTTTGAAACAGGCCTTCCCGTCCAGCCTCGCTGGCTGACCTTGCTGCCTGCCTCCTCTCCTGTGGTCCCCAGAACAGGGGGGGAGGGTGTAACACGAGACCACCCCGCAAGCCAGATGCTGCCTCTCCGAGCCCAGCTCTGCTTCTCCAGGAAAAGGAAATGTGGGACACGAAGCAGACGGTGTGGGGTCTGTGGCCTGAGGCAGAATCGTTCTCCGCTCTCCTTCGCGAGGCTGATCTCGGTGCACTCTTATGTTTCCCCTCCCAAGAGGAAAAGAAACGCCGGGAGAGGGAAGACCAGATGTACCGGGAGCGCTTGAGGACCCTCTTCCTCATTGCCGTCATCATGAGCCTGCTAAACTCACTGAGCACCAGCGGGGGCAACATCTCCTGGAACGACTTCGTGAACGAGATGCTGGCGAAAGGGGAGGTGCAGCGAATCCAGGTGGTCCCGGAGAGCGACATTGTGGAAATCTACCTGCATACCGGGGCAGTGGTGTTTGGACGGCCCGTGAGTGTCTCTTTCCCCTTTAATCCTACAGCGAGATCAGTTCTTTTTCTTTTTCTTTTACTTAAACTTTTAAATTTTATTATCAAACAAACAAAAAAGAAAGATAACAACAGTCAGAACAGTACTAACAATAATAACAAAACGATACGTATTTAAACTTATTTTCATGCTACGGCCCACCTATTATCAAGGTTAATATTGGATCCAACCAGGCAACATCCAGTCCAATAAAATACAAAGTCCATGTATTTCTCACATAATTTCTCAGGTGCTGGAAAGCATGTGAGAAGGGTGACTTTCATTACTTTGGTACTGAGAGGAATTTCAGGGTTGGTAGCAGAACTTTATTTTATTTAAAACATTTTTTAGCTGCCTTCCTGCCTTGCAGAACTCAAGGAGGCTTACAATGGAAATAAAACAGTAATTGCAAAAAAAACAAATCCGACCTACAAAACTACAATTTAAAATCTCAATTGGGACCAATGTTCCCTCTAAGCCATGGAGACTTGTGAGCAAAATTCTACTTTGTGAGCTACTGGCATTAAAATTGTGAGTGAGCAATTTGGCTACTGCATAAATTAGTTTGCTCTGAAGCCCTCCTTCCTGAGCGAAGACAAAAACGTGTGAGCCGGAAGCTGAAAAACTGTGAGCTAGCTCACACTAACTCAGCTTAGAGGGAACACTGATTGGGACTGCCAATAAATAAAACCTAAATTAATCAGACGTGGTCCTAAATAAAATTGTCCTTCACTGCCTCCTGAAGATCTGGGGAGGTGGTTCCATAGTCGTGGGGCTGCCACCAAAAAGGCCCTCCTTTGTGTTCCCATCATAGGAGCTTCTTTGATTGGCGGGACATTCAGGAGGGCCTCTCCCTGTGGTCTTAGTTCCCGGGCAGGGAACTGCACGTTTCGAGTTTCAAACGCCTCTCTGTCGGCATTCAGCCAGGTGAAAGGTACTGTGAAACTTTACCTAGTTCTGCATTAACCGAAATTGGCCCACTGCCTGGCAGATTCAAAGGCAGCTCTTAAAGCCCAGTCTGTCAGTTCTGGATCTGCTTTTCCTCTCTGCGAGCACAAAGGGCTGTGACTCTTGTGACACGTTCACATTTTGAAATCTCCACGGAGGATGCTTCCCTAATCTCCCCAGTCTTTGAAAATTCACCTTAGCTCTGAGATATGTGAGCGCCTGAATTGGCTGTATACTGGATCAGAACCTTGGCTCACCAAGGTCTACTCAGACTGGCAGTGGCTCTCCAGGGTCTCAGGTAGAAAAGTGCCTTCTGCGTGTGTGAAATGACTTGAGGAGTCACTAGTTGCAGATGGGCTGCTTGCTCAGTGAAAAAGAGATCTGCCCAGGCCTCCTTCATCGGATCAGCCGGAAACAATTCAGAGTTGTTGTTTTTTTCCTTCTCTCCATGATGTGCATTTGCAAGTGTGACGCCCGAGCCTATGATGGGGCTTAACACATGAGCACACGAAGCCGTCATATCCTGAACGAGACCCCCTGTCCACCGAGGTCGGTATTGCCTCCTCAGGCTGGCAGCTCCACCCCCACCCGGCTCTCAGTCTTCCACATCACCTCTTACTGGAGATTGAACCTGGGACCTTCTGCCTGCAAAGCAGACGCTCGGCCACTGACCCACGGCCCTCCCATAGTGCCTAAATTCAGTGTTCCCTCTTGAGCTGAGTTAGTGTGAGCTGGCTCACAGTTTTTTAGCCTCCGGCTCACAGATTTTTGTCCTAGCTCAGGAAGGATGGCCCCAGAGCAAACTAATGTATGCAGCAGCCAAATCGCTCGCTCACAACTGTAATGCCAGGAGCTCCCAAAGAAGGATTTTTGCTCACACGGCTCCACAGCTCAGAGGGATCATTGGGGCCCGTCTACTTCTTTGTCCTGAGAATGCAGGGAAGGAGTCCTTCGCTGGGGAACTGGGCCCCTTTAGCCTCACTGGGCTCCACCTGTATGTTCCATAACCGAGGAGACTCTCCTGGGCTTGTGAGTCTCACAGGTGGGGAGAGAAGACTGTGGCTGTTCCTAAGGTGCTCAGGATCCTCCTCTGGCTTGGCCAGAATCACATCTCTATTTTTATTTTTTATTTATTTATTTATTTGATTTCTATCCCGCCCTCCCAAAGGCTCAGGGCGGCTCACATACGATAAAACCAGATACAATATCAGCATATATAATAAAATACAATATTTAAAACCACTATAAAACCTTCCAAAAAAACACGGTGCTGCAATCGATAATAATAGTAATCTTAATCTTCCAAGATGGGGACAATCACTCAGATTTGGTGGCAGCCTTTCCAGTAACGTGGTCTCCCACTATGTAATTTCTGCCAGGGCATACCTGCCCCCCTTTCGTAGGGCAGCCGATGGCATACTACCTCGGTGGTAGGATAGTGGCGGCGGCGGCGGCTCCTATTCGTACGCCTGGTGGAAGAGATCCGTCTTACAGGCCCTGCGGAACTGCACAAGGTCCCGCAGGGCCCGGATCTCGTCTGGGAGCTCATTCCACCAGGTAGGAACCGCCACCGAAAATGCCCTTTTAAAGATTGGGAGCCCATCCTTAGCTTATAAGAAATGAAAACCGTGCCAGGGACAGAGGCTTCAGAAGGCAAATGTCTCCCGGCTCGTTCCTTACTGGCAGGGGCACAGCTAAGAGGGACTGAACTGGGGGCATGTGATGTTCAAGCCTCTCCCCAGTTCCTCGGCGTTCTTGCCACTGGGTCTCCTGTCCTGGCGGCGGCGAGTCAACCCAGGAGGAATGGCAGTAATAGTCGAAACTGTCTCTGCGGGGGAGAGTGCTCCCTCAGGCCAGGTAGCATGTGGCTCCCAGAGCATCTCTTGGCGAACAGAGAGGATGGTGGTGTGGTTAGTGTTCACTTTAAAGTGAAGACCAGGTGCAGTTTCAGATTTCCAGTATCTGTGTTGCCCCCTCCTTCCACTGTGGTGTTGTGGTTAAGTGCGCGGACTCTAATCTGGGAGAACCGGGTTTGAGTCCCCACTCCTCCACTTGCACCTGGCTGGATGACCTTGGGCAAGCCGTAGTTCTGATAAGAGCTGTTCTTGAAAAAGAGCAGTTTCTGTCAGAGCTCTCTCAGCCCTACCTCCCTCGCAGGGTGTCTGTTGTGGGGAGGGGAGGGGAAATGAGTTTGTAAGCCGCTCTGAGACTCCTTTGGGTTGTGAAGGGCATGGTATAAATCCAATCTTCTTCTTCTTCTTTAATGGGTATTGGGTTTAGCCATATAGCCGTAGTTCTGATAAGAGCTGTCCTTGAAAAAGAGCAGTTTCCGTCAAGAGCTCTCTCAGACCTACCTCCCTCACAGGGTGTCTGTTGTGGGAAGGGGAGGGGAAATGAGTTTGTAAGCCACTCTGAGACTCCTTTGGGTTGTGAAGGGCGTGGTATAAATCCAATCTTCTTCTTCTTCTTTAATGGGTATTGGGTTTAGCCATATAGCCGTAGTTCTGATAAGAGCTGTCCTTGAAAAAGAGCAGTTTCCGTCAAGAGCTCTCTCAGACCTACCTCCCTCACAGGGTGTCTGTTGTGGGGAGGGGAAATGAGTTTGTAAGCCGCTCTGAGACTCCTTTGGGTTGTGAAGGGCGTGGTATAAATCCAATCTTCTTCTTCTTCTTTAATGGGTATTGGGTTTAGCCATATAGCCGTAGTTCTGATAAGAGCTGTCCTTGAAAAAGAGCAGTTTCCGTCAAGAGTTCTCTCAGCCTCGCCTCCCTCCCAGGGTGTCTGCTGTGGGGAGGGGAAGGGAAAGGGGTTTGTAAGCCGCTCTGAGACACCTTTGGGTAGTGAAGGACCATGGGGTATAAGTCCAATCTCTTCTTCTCCTTCCCCCCCCCCTGCCCCTCATGCTGTCATGTCGCTCTCTGTCCTGTGTCTCCAGAGGCTGGCCCTGATGTACCGAATGCAGGTGGCCAACATTGACAAGTTCGAAGAGAAGTTGCGAGCCGCCGAGGACGAGCTCAACATCAGTGTGAAGGACCGGATCCCCGTCTCCTACAAGCGCACCGGCTTCTTTGGAAAGTATGGCGAATTCGGGCGGGAGCTGCTCTGGCCTTTGCAAGGCCCCCTCTCCTGAATGCCCCCCCCCCGCCCGCTTGCCTCCCCTCTTCTTTGCTGCTACCCTCGCACTGCCAGAGCTGCACACGCAACCTCCTCGAAGGAGTCGGTGGCGCCAGGCGGGGCGGCGGCCGCCACCGTGAACCACAAATGCATGGGACACGCGGTGTCCCATGGGGCTGGCAGGACAAAGAGATGCCTCTGCTCCCCCCACCGCTGGGCGGCCTGGCTCTGCATCTTGAGATGATTTCCCTAGTGATAGGAGGGGGGGCCACGGCGGGCAGCCCGAACCACTCAGACGGAGGAGTAATTTTCTGTGAAAAGCGTCCTGATCAATTTTCTCGGCGGATGCTGCCGGGTGGCTCGGGAAACACGCCGGTGAGCACAGTGTGGCCTGACCAGCGGAGTGAATGCATTAGAGCCCGCGCGAGCCCCCCCCCCCCCCCCCCCCCCCCACCCC